ACCCTCTCCCCCGAAAACGCTGGCTGAGGGGCAAGCGCCCCGGCCGGCCCCCACCCGTGGGAGCCCCGTGGCCGGCGCTACCCAGGGGATCGGACGAGACGGTCGCGCGGGGCCCCTTCTGGCCTGCAAGCCTGGGTCCTTCTCAGCCGTTTGGGAATCCTGCACTACAGCAGCATTTTCCCTGCAGTGGATTTGCTGGGAATAGGGAATTGGGAAAGGAAGGAGTTGAAGCTCGGTCGCGCACGGCTAGGGCTGCGAGAACCGGCCAGTCTTCTCCCCCGTGCCCAGCGCGGGATCCTGCCCGGTGATGCCTTCACGCCAGGACTGACGTATGAAAGAGTAAAAACTCCCCTTCTCTCTGCAGGCTGCAGAGAGATCCCAACCGCACTGCTTACCGGTGGGCAGTGCAAGGAGGAGTCAGCTGGGATGAGACATCCGATTTCCCAATAAGTGACAATAACACCCCATCTCCCATGTGATGCTTGCTCCACATTAGTCAGTCCATAAGTCATTGACTCACTTTTTTCAGCTGAGTGTTGTGAAAATCAGCCTTCTCTGTAACAACAGTAAGGCACAAAGAGGTGCAAAACCTAACTGCTGTGGTGCCTCCTTGCCCTGTCCTAGCAGTGGGGTTATTTCCTTGGACATGTGCTCAGCTCGTGCTACCTGCTTCTGGAATTGGCAGCTTTTGCTAATCTGAATTGCTTTAAAAAGCCTGCCCCCCCCCCTTTTTTTTTTTTTTTTTTTTTTTTTTTTTCGCCTGTTGCTTATTCTTTTTTTTTTTTTTGGCCAGGTGTCACAGCAGCTGTATCCAAGATCCTCTCTGAGTGCAATAAGGCAAGGTGCTTCCCTGGAGCATGGAGAGGTTACGAGCAAGACTGGGGCACCTTTCTGCAGCTTGGTATGTAGTATCTACTTTAACCTTTACCCCCTCCTCTGCCTTGATAGCTGTTGAGATGTTTTTTTCCACTGGAAAAAAAAAAAAAAACTTGCAGTAAATGAATTGGCCAAACTTGCTAGGCAGAATTGTTCCTGATGAAGTAGCTGAGGTTGCTTCTGGCTGGGGGAGACAGGGATTGCCTGGCTGGGTTTCACCCCATGCCTTCTCCCTGGCAGTAGTCAGCCCCACAAGACTATGGGAGAGGTTTTTGGGCTATGTAGAGGAGAGAGGGGGAAAAAAAAACCCAAAACAAACAAAAAAAAAACAAAAACCCCCGCCCAGTGGGAGAATTCATCCCCCCCACCCCAGGTTTTCTGGTCTCTAGAGAGTCCCTTCAGATCCAAGGCCTGAGAAATGATGTTCCTTCCCCAATGTTTGTTTTCATTAGACATTTAAATAGCTCTATGGGACATATCATCCTGTCTGCCCTGGCCAAATCTTATCCTTGGGGATTTTCGCTGGTGCTGGAACATCAGTGTGAAACAGTATCTTCTCTGATCAGTTCTGTACTTGTCACCCTTGAATTCCCTGATTTTAGTTTGGTTTTCTATTAAGAGGCAGGGAGAGCAAAAGCTCCTGCTCTACCTCCTCTCATCCATTGAACACCCTATAATTGTAGAGCTGGAGCTAATGACGGCCACAGCAGCCAGGAGCCACATCCCTGTAGAAGGAGCCTACTGCTCCCTCCTCTCCCCGCAGCTTCCTCTAAATAACCCAGGCCACCACTAAAGATTTCACCCCTCTGAGTGACCTTATTTGGATTTTTATAGAATGATATAATACTGTTCTGTGCTTACATTTGAGGAGGAACTATTGCACTGTAATTGGTATTTAACCTTTCAAGAAATGCTTTGAACTTTTCTGTCCTGCATCATTCTGGGGAAGATCTTCCTGGTTCTAGCTGCTCAGTTCAGCAGAGAGGCAGAGAAGGGGGAGACCAGGGGTATTTGTATAAGGAAGTCATAAAGACCCATGAGAGGTTGTCTCAAGAAAGCCCCCTAGTGAGTGCATTTCTGTGTTTCCTCTGCTAATACCCAGATATTTCTTCTTTGTACAGGTTGAGAGTCTGTGTCTATTGTGAAGACTTTTTGTTCCCAAAGGTACACAGGACCATGGTAGATCAATGGTCAGTTTACTCCAAGCCTGTTCCAGCAAACGGCAGAGAACTGTGGGCCTTATTTCTACAGTGTTTCTGCATCACAGTGGTGATAGGAGGCCTCTTTTACAACTGGATGTTTGCTTCCCTGGAGTATTCGTGGCATCTCTCTACTGCAATTGCCGTTTCCTTCAGTCTGCTCCTTCTGCTGACCCTTTTTTTGGTGCATCCTGCCCGTTGTGCCTTCAGTATAACGATGCCAACTTTAGGTACAAAACAAGGTCGGAAGCTTCTCTTGTCTACGTGCGTCATGATTGTGGCGGTTAACGTAACACCGAACATTATAAGTAACATTAAAACCATACTGCAGGTTATTGAATGCATCTGCAAGAATTACTCAGAGAGCCTTTTGAACTCAACCACTCTTTTAGGAGAAGCGTCCCAGGAGTTTGGAGGTGTAATCCAAACAATTGTTGATGACAATAATGTTTGGAGGCCTATGAATGGGCATTTTAAATTTGCACTACTTAATAACAGCACCTTGGTTAATCAGCAAATGCATCTTGCTGGTGAGAGAATTAGGAACAACTTTTTGGTGGTTGAAGCACTGGTAAAAGATTCGGTACGAGCAGGCAACAGACTGGTAGCTGGCCTCTCCATGCTCTATCTCTGTTTGGAGTCCGCCTGCTATTTGAAAAATTATCTTACCGACCTCCGCTTTGACAATTTTTACATCACCAAGAAACTGGAGCGTTTATCCATGGACAGAAAAGCGGCTCATCTGCTGACAGGCTCATCCAAACATCTCCTTCGGCGAACAGGTCTGAAGTTGTCCCGGGAGGAACTGATGCTCTGCCTTGTGCAAATGATGTTCCTTACTGTGGTCCTGATGCTGATGCTGGTCATCGTTGCCATGGACCACTTTGCGTTCAGCGTAGCAGACGCTGCAGTGAGAAATGTGGCTCAGTTCTCCGTGGTGCCTGTGACTCTCGGCATCAAATACAGTGTAAGTGCCGGGTTTGCTTGTCCAGCTCATGAAATACAGGTATATCAGTTCTCTGGGCAGCTGATGCAAATCCTTTCTGGAGTGGCTCTTTCACCCAGTGTGCAGAAGGGATGGAGGGAGATTATGACTCACAGCAGGGACTGGTGATGCTCAAAAAGTCTTGTCTTTCAAAAGCTGTGAGGGATGCAACCAGGGAACAGGAGCAGCAGGGCCCCTGGAGGGCCTGGTCTCAGGGAGCAGCTCTGAGTGAGCGGCTCTGCACACGGGGCTGGGGCTGGTGCACACACAGATGGGACCCGGCTTCCCCTCGGAGAGGTGCCCAGCTGAGCTGCCCCACATCGCTTGTCTGTGGGCCTCAGGGGGTGTAGAAAAACACTGAGAACTGTAAAGGGAGGCAGACTAACACACTTCTCATCCATGAGGATGTCTTCTCATTTTATTGCATTGGCTGTTCCTTGAAAAGAAAGCTCTGCTCATTGGCTTTGTGTTATCACCCTGTTCAATCCTATTTTGCAAGCCTCTCTAGGTTCAATCTATTTTAATATCCTTTATCTGAAATAATTGTGTGTGTGTGGGGGGGGGGGTATGTGAGAAACTGAGAGGCGATCTCATCAATGTCTACAAGTATCTGAAGGGGGGGTGTCGAGAGGGTGGGGCCAGACTCTTCTCCGTGGTGCCCGGTGACAGGACAAGAGGCAACGGGCACAAACTGAACCACAGGCAGTTCCCTCTGAACATGAGGAAAAGCTCCTTTACTGGGAGGGTGACTGAGCACTGGAACGGGTTGCCCGGAGAGGCAGTGGAGTCTCCTTCATTGGAGATATTCAAAGCCCGTCTGGATGTGACCCTGGGAAATATGCTCTAGAGGACTCCGCTTGAGATGATCTCCAGAGGTCCCTTCCAACCTCAGCCATTCTGTGATTCTACCATGCAGCCTTTCCCCTCCTCAGCTCTGAGGCTTCTTAGCTCAAACACCTGCTTCTCATGAATTTATAGCTTTAAAAAAAAAAATAAGGGAGGGAGGAGGCTTAGAAACAAACTTCAAATCTGAAAAGTGTAGCTACTAATGCTAACCTTTGAATTATGTACTTCATTGTAAATCTCGCCCTGTGAATACCTTTTACAGTCACTGTAATAGCAAATGAAGATCACAGATAGGACTAGGTCTTCCCATACCAAGTATTCAGTGCTTACACAGCGTGCTGTTACGCTCGGGCAGCCTGAAGCATATATACACTTCAACGTCCTGGTCTTACTGCACCCGAACAAGCTGTAACATTGATTACACACCTCTAGGCTGACGCTTTTGTAGTAACCTGTTTATTTTGTTTATATCCCATCTAACCTTTTACTTTGTTCATTTCAGGCAAAAATAAGGACCTTACCCTTCCTCTGGAAACTTTTCCAGATTCCTTACGGAGGGCTACTAATTCAGGACTTTGAAAAAAGTTACCGTCATTATCTGAGCTTCAGCTCTGCTCATTGCAGGATCAGCCCACCAAGACCTCCCAATAACTCGGTGGTGCTTGTTGTCGGGCTGCTCTACTGCATCATCTACGCCACGGTATTTCTGGAAACCTATGCCCACCGCTCATGCAGAAAAATTGCAGCCTCCTTCTTTGAGAGCCAAGAGGAGAAGCGAGCCCTTTACCTCTACAACAAGCTGTCCAGGAAGTTTGAGGAGGAGAAAAACTCTGTGAGAAACTAAGAACAGTTTTAGGAATTCAAGGATTGCCTGAGGCCTCTGGGCAGTAGCTGGGCTCAGGTTTCTGGAGTGGGATCACATAGCTGCCTTCTCTTGGATAATTTGTTTTCCAGAGTCAGAGAAATGTTTGGAATCTGCCAAAAAAAGGAGGAAAAAAAAAAAAGAATTATTACATTTTATATTTAGCCCATTTTTAATCAAATTAATGTACTTTTTTTTTTTTTTTTTAATCTTCAGGGTTAGGAGTTAGCTTTGCCAGGAATGGAGGGGAAGGGAGTAGAGATAATTCATATGATTTGGAGGATAACCGCAGCATTAGGCAATGCTACATGGGAAATACATGGGAGTTGGTTCATTTACCTTCCCTGTCACATCCACACCTGAGGAAGTACACGCTTCCCTTTCTCTCTCCGGTTATCCTTTTGGACAGCAGGAGAGGAAACATATTTGAGTGAATTTAATTTTCAGGGAGTTTTCCTTTCAGGTTTCATGCATAGAAATTTGAATAGATTAGATGATTATTAGTCCTTAGTAGATAGTTCATCCACTAAAGTGCAGTTTCAGCCCACTGAAACAAATGAGCATTAATCAATATGAGCATTAGATGCAGATCCTGGGCATGGCTTTCCTGGTGGTGGAGGTCAGTATGGAAGGGCTTTCTGAAATGACTGCACAGGGGCTCTCCAAAAAGAAACATCAATAAAATTGTTGAAGGACGTGAGCAGAAGATAAGACCAGTCAACAAAGGTTAACTTAGGCCAAAATCCTGGAGGACCTTAAAAGTGGCAGACTGAAACCTGGCATTTGAGTCAGTGCACCGCAGGGAGCAGAGAAGTAGCAGGACTTGGACGCCTGGATTCTTCCGAACAAATAGCTGTTTTAACATGTTGCGCTGGCATAAACCATGGCAATGTACCTAAAATGTGAAAAATTATCACTGGAGCTACATTGGAAACCTGATACTTTTGAAAAAGGGGCAGATCAGGCCCCTTCCAGGCAAGAGCCAGGAAGAAAGGGAGGTAAATCTGCCGGGTTAAAAACAAAGCATTTTCACAGCTTCCTTTTTTCCAAGTGTGTCTATTCTTTTTCTCTCTTCTCCCATTAGTCTTCATTAAGGTAATTATTTGACATAATGCACGTCAATGAAATTAAATTGCAAAAGTGAAGTGGCAGCTGCAGCCAGATGCATCATATTCTCTCAGGTTTGGAGATGCTTGAAAAAAGTCAGTCTGGATTTTATTTTTTTAAATTTCTTTCTTTTTTTTTTATTTAGCGTCTAACAAAACCCTGGTATATTCTTCTCCCCAGGTTTCCTAATTCCCTGCTGTTATGGTGGTTAATCTAAGCACCTTTCTGCTTCTGCAGCAACTAGGGGCTTTTTGTCTTGAGGTTTCTCTAGAAAATGCTCTATGTTCTTCTGTTTTGGGAAAGCAAAAAGATTTCCATATGTCTTTTGAATAGCTAAAATTATCTGGAGCCAGGGACTGAAACAGCAGCTTCCAATTCTTCACCCTACCTACCAGCTCATGGAAAAGAAAATTCAGAAGAGGTTGGAGATTGGAGTGGGAATATTTAGGAAGGCTGTTCAGAAAGAGGGAGCAGGGCATCCGGCAGAGCAAAGAAAGAGTTTCTCTGTGGAGCTGACTGCAGGTGTTTGCTCTGTGAGAGGCTGGCCCAGGCAATGAGAAGCATCAGAGAAAGCTATCTTGATCAAGGTGCCTTTGCTGAAACTGCACCAAGCTACATCTTCCTGTCAGATGAGAAACCAGAACAATAAATAACAGCCCCTTTTGAAAAGATTCTTCTAAATAGAGCCTAGGCTGAGCATTAATGATCTGGAGGTGGCTTATCTGAGCAAGGGTAGTTACATGCTCAAGTACATCCTGGGTGTTTCACTTGATTGAGATGATAGGACCCAGCCAGAAGAGGGAAGGCACTGAAACATTTGATTTTGGGTTAGCTCCTGCCTCCTTAAACCGTTAGCAAATCCCTTCTCCCTTTCTCTAATTGAAATACTTAGACCCAGTGCAGAGATGGAGAGGACTTAGGTTCACGTGCAGGCTTGGGTGAGGCCAAGGAGAAGAACTAACAGGGCCAAGCACTGCTCCAAGCCTCCCATTGCCTCCTACTGATGGGTGCTGGCCATCTCCCACATGGGACAGCTGTACGGTATGTGAAGCAGCTCCTGAAACGCATGCTTTCAGCCTAATCTCTCTTTTCTAGAGCTTGTCAGCTGCCACTAAATTTTACCCACTAAAGACAAATCCTAAGAACTTTGTACTTCTAGACTGGAAATCTCACTATCAGCTAAGCCTTGATTAGGGTAATTATATCTGCTTGAAAGTATAATAATAATCAGTGTAAGGTACTGCTGCTCTGCCTCTGCCCCCAGTTACAGCCTTCATAAATCCTTCAGGAAGGGGAGACGCACTCATTTCCATTTTACAGGGGAATTTGAGATCCAGAGAGATTAAGAACAAGTTTTTATGAAGTACTGTGGTGCATATCACACGAATTTCAGTGATTTCAGTGGCAGCTAACTGTGTGCAGCAGAGCTCCTTTTGCCTGGCTACATCTATAGGTCAGCTCACCTGCCCCATTTTGGACATCTGCCACAGGGGTGATGAATCGTGCCCTCAGGGAGCAATCCTAGGGCTCTCCTCTGCCTGGTTACCTTCATGCAAAGATTTTAGTTTTAACAGTCATGTAAAAACCAGCAAGGAAAGAATTTGAGTTTAAGAGGCGAAAGCCCAGTGAGCCAGGAGCTTTGGTGAGGAGGTGAGGGTAGGGCGGCAGATGGATGACTGGCTTTTGTCCCAGAGATGTTGGATTTTTTTAATTAGAAAGGGCAGCAAGAAATTTGTGAATTGCTACATGTGGAGCGCTGTGAAGTTTCATGTTGTTAGTGCCAGAAGGGTTTTTTTTTTATGTAGGAAGGAAAATATCCTTTTGATACTCATCACTGATATTTTGGGGGTGAATTTGTATTGATGTTAAAACACTCAGTATGTGTATATTCAATGGTAAATAAAGATAACATTATACTTGAATAGCACTGAGATGTCAATGCATACGAATAGACGTTAAAACAAGACTACTGTAGCTTGAGGTTGTGGCATTACGCGTATCTTATCCATATACCTGATGAATCCTTTTTGAGGAAAAAAGGGTTGTTAAAGACTGTTTCTTTGGCATTATGCCACTTAACCCACAGCCCTGCTTTTCCCATGAAAAGCTAAACCCAGGAAATTGTGGCAAAAGTGACGTGCCACAGGCCACCCAGTGACAAGCGTCACGCAGCCGTGCTGTTGTGCAACAGGGAGATGTTGGAGCAGCAGGCGCTGCCACGGGCTGGTTCCCGTGGCTGGGCCAGCTCGGGGCCTGGCCAGCTGCTGCAGCCCGAGGGCTTGGTGTGGGAGAAGGACTTCCCAAGCCCAGGAGCGGTGGCCTGGCTTTGCAATGAGATATGGATTTAGCCAAATTACTGCAGAATTTCCTTGCATGGAGGCTGCCCACTATAACTTCTCATTGCAAATGCAGTAAGAAATCCCCGTGGAAACAGTTGAGCGACGTTTCTTCTGTGCACCTCCCAGGACTTCTTCCATTAATTGCAACACTTTAGCTCAGATCCTCAGCAGCGTTACGTCAAGAGATCCGTGCTTGGCACCTTCTCGCAGCAGCCCAGGGCTGTGTTACTTTCCCTTCCTGTTTTTGGTAAGCCCTTCAGCTTTCAAGCACTGCATGGGTGGTACGGAGCCGGGCTGCGGAGGTGTTGAGGCCAGTTCAGAGAAAGAGCAAGGGCACAAAACGGTGATGTGACTTAACCAGACGCAACCAGACCTCGCCACAGAGCGTTGCATGGGAGACAGATGCATTGGGGCAGCAGCAGCACCAGCGGCTCGAGGTGCTCCTCCTCGCCCCTTCTCCCTGAAACCTCCCGTGTGGGCATCTCCATCTCCACCTCCGCTGCGGCACACAGGCTGAAGGACGTATCTTTGGCTGGAACGCGTGCAATGCAGGCAGCTCAGCGCTCTCCTGGCACTGCTGCTCCTTTGGGCTTAGTCGAAGGCTAAACCAGAGCGATCAGCTGGGACGGCGAGCGTCGGGAACCGCACAGGAAAGAGGAAGTGCGAGGAAGGGCTGTGCGGGGCTGTGGGCCTGGAAGGCAGCTGCAAGGGGAACGGTGACTGTACCAAGACTAAAACAGAAAGAAAATACCCAGAGCAGAAGAATAGAGGAGGTAAAAGCCACACCAGCCTGGCCGCCCTCTGGGAATGTGGAGGAAGGCTGAGCGGGGCTTCTCAGCCCGTCTGCAAACAGCTCAGGCTAGTAAAGATCGCCCCTCAGGCAGGGGAGGCAGCTCAGTCCCTGCGGGAACCTGCTTTCTAAATCCCCTGGGGGCTCCCAGGAACAGGAGGCAGGCCCCAAAGAGCGAAGAGCGGAGCGCGAGGTATCGGCTATCCTCGCTTCGCTGTCCCTGAACGCCGAATCGGGCTGGGGAGGGGGCGGCGGGGGGCACGGCTGGTGGACACCAGCTTTCTCTCCTGTGAGGTGTTGGCTCTCAGCGAGATCAGAGCAGGCCGAAATACAGTTTTACCTGCTGTGTTTTCTTATTATATGCTAGAGATGTAAGCTGCCCTTCCAGAATTTACTTAAACATGCAACAGAGAAATACCAAACAGACTTAACTGGCAGGTGAAGTTAATGTATTTACATACACTTTTTAAGTAGGACCAATTTACAAGCTTCGTTATTTGCTAAGAGATTTTCATACTTCATGGCCCTCCCGTACTCCCAGCCCTCACTCCTCCTGCGCATCCTACCTTCGTTTTCATTCAGCACCACCCTGCTGCCTCCGAGACGGAAGGAAATTGGGAACGAGCACAGGTCTTGAAAGCACCTTTGATGCCCTGCAGCACTTGTCGTTCGCTGCGGGTGTCTAGAGAGCCCACGTGGCCTGCAGGGGATGAGGGGAGAGGGGAGGGTTTTTGAACGGAAACCCCTCAGAGAGAAAGCTCAGTGCTTGTGTCGAGACTGAACATAATCTTCACAGTTCGGCAGTGAAACATGGAACCAGCATGGCAGAAAAGATTTTAAGGTCAGAAATGATGCCTTTTCCCTGATTTGGTTCCTCCAGAACTGCA